ATCAGTAGTTCTCTACTGATTGGTTACACCTTTGGGAGTAACCTAGGTAGGAATCTGTGGCAGGCTGCTCTAGACATCATCATATCTTAGCATAAGTATTGCCATATTGGACACCATATTGGGCATTTCTTGGCTGCTTTATGAGTCCTGTCCATAAAGATGGTGTCTGGGTGTTGGCAGCAGCTGTTTATCTATAGTCCGGAGGTCTGATAGCTCCCTGATTCTGAACTGCAATGCACCCAAAGTACAGACAAACTTTGGAGTTTGTTAAGACATTACGTTCTCTACAAATGCCACTCACAAAACAAAATATAAAATAAGAAATATGCCAAAGTATGCAATACTTTCATGAAATATATTCTAAAATCCTATTAAAGAATGTTTCTCCCAATGTATAAATTCAATGAAATGCCCATAAAAATCCCCCAAAGCATTAAGAATAAATGCAGAGATGGGAAAAGTTCATGAATAGCTAAAACAACTTGAGGAGAGGTTTTTTTTTTTTTTTTTTTGTCTTTTTTCTTTTTTGGTGCTGGGATCGAACCCAGGGCCTCACGCATGCTAGGCAAGCGCTGTACCACCGAGCTACATCCCAGCCCCTAAAACAACTTGAAAAAGAACAAAAAAGTTAGGACCTACTGAGCCAGGTACTTCAAATTCATAATGATTTCTTGTGACTTTTCCATAGAAACAGAGAAAAGGACTAGAATAAAACCCACAAACAGACCCATTTCTTCACGGAAACTTGATAATTAATAGTGCAGTCTACAAAATCTTGTGTAGACAGATTATTCAGTAGTGTTCAGGAGACTGTAAAAATTTGGAAAATTTAAGATACAATAGATTTCTACCTATTACAGCAATGTAGCATAATATATTTATTTACCTCAATGAAAATAAGTCCCGTGCCAGGTTACTTGACTAGAATTTCATGTGAACTATCCTTAAACTTGTAAAACGAGGTGAAGAGATATTGTGCAAATGATACAAAGGACATTGTCAGCATGAAAGCTGAAAGCACAGAGACAATATATTTGTCCCAGCTTGCTATGCTAGGAGCGTGAGGATTGTGAATGACTTTTCTAGGAGGAACAAAGAGATACAGAAATAAAATGGGTTTTTTTGCAGGGAAATTAATGAAAGTAAGTTAAAGAATTTAGGAGAAAATAAGAAGAACCATGTTGATGTACAGCACCAATAACACTATGGGTAACACCCAAAGTGTGGAAAAATTCCAGGATTGAGAAATGTTTCCCACACAAATTGAGGTAGATTTGCCTCTGGGCAAATGGGAGCCCCACTTCTTCTAGCTCAAAGTATGTAATGCAATCCTACTACTTGGAGCTCACTCACCAGCTTGTCAGGGTCAACTTTTGGGTGCATCATGCGCAAGGGTTATAGTTGTGTTTGTTTTGTGCATGGATTAGAGGCAGGGTGGGGTTAGTATAGTACCTTGCTATTCAGAGGTGGTTCATAGACCACCTCCTGTTTAAAAGGCAGAATTTTAAGGCCTGCCTCAACTCTACCAGTTAGAAATCTGCATTTTAACAAGATCCTCATATATGCCTTAAGTTGGAGAAACACTTAAAACTTAAAGAAAATTGTTAAGTTTAAAGAGAGATGGTAGCCAAGTAGTGGCAAAGCTAGATTCATCCCTGAGTTCTACTTGGAATGCTTGCCCCAAGCATTGTACCTAAAGATACAATTTCATCCCACATGAATAAAGGTAAGAACACCTTTTTACCCTGACCTCACTTGGCCAACAGTTTTAATGCTCTAAAATATGGCCCAGACCTAGAAGTCAACCAGAAAGCTCACTCCAGGCTCAAGCAGCAATCTTTAACATCTACCTACCAGGCTTCTCTGTTTTCCACACTGGCAGGATCTCAGACCCCTGCAACTCTAATAAATTTGGTGTTCTGGTTCCCTGCCCACAAAAGACTGGAAACAGCAAATTTAAAGTAGGGCCAAGGGAAGAAGTAAGATACGAGGTTAGCGTGAGGTTTACAATGAGAATTGATGGGAGAAGAAGAGCTTTGACATTTTCATGGTTATTTAGTTTTATAAGTCTGTTCACACCTCAAAAACAGTAACTCAGATCTTAGAGACGTGATGCTTACCCCTGGCTGCATGGTAGAATCGCCCAAAGAGACCTTTAAAAAAAGATAATACGCAAGCCTCCATTTCAGAGATGCTGATCTGCTTGGACTGCAGTGGGATCCAGGCTCGGGTAGTTAGTAAAGCTTCCCAGGTGATTCTTAGTGGGTTAAGGGCTGATCAGTGAAGGGCCCAGAGGCCTGGACACCTGAGTAACTTCTACTCTTTACAACTTGCTACAATCATTGATGATGGTTTGTTAGGATGACCTTGGTTACCAGGATTTGCTTTTAAGGGGACATTTTGTGTATCAGAAGTGATTTCAGCAGAAAACAAGAGCCTAGAACTCAATGGTACTGGTGCACACATCCAATGGCTGTGTTGTAGAGAAATCTAGACAGCACTGGTGGTCTGGGGTAGACACCCACCATCTCCTCCTCCTCGTGGTAAGTGTTGTAGACCAACACTTATCTTAGCATGCCCACGAGTCACCTGAGGGACCTCATTACAAGGCAGATTCCATCTCAGAAGGTCTGGGGAGGGCTCAGAGTCGCAGTCAAAATGAGACACAGGTGATTCCATGGGCGTTCCAAAGCCCACACTTGGATACCAAGGCTCTAGATTATCTTAGTGATTCATATTTAACACCCTTCTCGGGAGCCAAACAAGAACAGTGGCTTCCTCACTCCTGAAGCATGAATTCTAAGGGGGTGGTGGATACCCGGAGCCCCTGGGCTCAGAGCTGTAACCTTTCCTGGGCTGACGACATGGACTTTCATGTCCCACTAGGCAATTTTAGTAGAGGATGACAGACTATTGATTTAGGAATGGGTTTAGAGCCCCTTAAATTCTGCTCATTTATTACAAAAGTGGGACACTGAGGCTGAGTTGATAATGATTTTCCGGGTTCATAGGTGATAGTGGTAAAGTCCAAACTAGATCTAAGGCAAGACATGAAAGCATCAGTTAAGAAGTCTGTGAAAATGATTGCTTTGTGAAACACCCCTTGGCTTATTCTCAGATAAAGACTTGGAAAAGGACAGAAAATTCTAAAGCCAGGCTGACTGGTGCTGGAGTGAGATGGGGCAGATAACATGCTCCCTGCCTGAGACCACACAATAGCTATTGTTTCCCCTCTTGTGAAATTTCCATGAGAAAGGGTCAGGCCTCCACAGAAGCTGCCCTATGAATGCTCTAGTCTTTCTTATTTCATTTTCATACTCTTGCTCAATATTTAGAAGTCTTTCTGCAAAATTAAAGAAAAAAAATTTGTTCAAAGTGGGGGGAAAAAAAATGAGTCTTATTCCCAGAACATTCAGAACCTTACCCAACAAATGTTTGCAGAAAAGCAGAGCGAATGTGAGTGGAATTGGCAAATTCAGTGGCCTTCTGGGTTGTGGAGCCATTGGTGTGGTTGGTTTAGGCCATAAAGGCTCATAGGGGCTCCCTTCCTTGCCACAACGGCCATCCCAGCAGCACTGTTTATTTCTGATTTCACTGGACTTGGCTGAGACTTTCCCAACAGAGCGGATTCTCAAGGTTTTCATCTCTCTATGTGGCTGTCTGGGTCTGGAGTTCAAGAATGATCCAATGGGAATCAACCTAAAAGCCACCAGTTTTGAATATTAAATACTAGCTCCATTAAGGTCCTGTCTGGAAAAGAGGTTTGCTGGGCTCAAGGCCCCTTATTTCACCTCCTCTGTCTCCAGCTTTACTTTGTCTTCTATTTGTTTTCCTGATCTATCCAAATCCACTCCCTGACCTTTCGGCCCTCTCAGCAGGTCTTGGCAATTTGGCTGCCTGGATAGGCAGAGAGAGAGAAAGCCACCTGCAAGTGGATCAGGTATCCTCACCTGATCACTCATTTTTATTTGTGTGACATTTCAAATTTCACAAATTATTTCTCAGCCTCTCCTCAGAGAGAAGGGAAAGAACTAGAAGGTGAGGCACCAAACCGCTACCAGTCCTGGTGTTTGAACAACAAAGCTGCTGTTACATGTTTCTCATTATACTTAAATTGTCTTAATGGGTATGTGTTAACTGCAAAATTTGTTGTAATTTACAAAGGGACAGTTTTGATCGTATAGCTAGGGACTTTCCCAATCCATTGATCTTGGGGTATAGGCAGAGATTTTTTTTTTCTTTCTTTAAAGTATTCATCTTAAATGATGCATTCACTAATGAATTCACAGCATAAATTGAAAATCCCATGTTTTTCCAACACCATATTTTGCAATAGCCATCAGGTGACCACAGCGTCATCAGAGCCATGGGATGCATGTTTTGTGTGAGGGGGAGGAAGCAGTTCCTCAAAGAGTTGCCGTTTGCCAGAGAAAGTGACTTTAACACCCAAAAGCACAGGCTGAAGGTGACAGAGGGAACCTGGGAGATTCCAGATATGGAGGAGGCCCTGGCTTTGGGTTACCTGGCATCCAATGTGAGTTCCGAGCAGAAGCCCAGAGCTGGGTTCAGGATGAGACCTGAAGAGCTACACGCAGTGGCCGCCTTGGACAGTAAAGTCCTGCACTGAAGGGAGCGAGCAGAAGGTGGCGGCTCCACCCACCAGAAGAAAAGACCCGAGTACTTCTGCAGCAGTGCCTGAGGGAAGCCCGATGGGATCCAGCCTGCACCCCTAGAGGCTGCCAGTTCCAGGGAGCAAGTCAGGTCTCCTGGCCCCATCTCACCATTTTGCGCCCGCGCCCTACCCTTTGCCCCGCCTCAAGCCCCGCCCACTTCCCCAACGTCGCCACGCCCACCGCGCACTTTTCCCACCCCGCCGCTAGGGGGCGCGCGCGCGCGCGTGTGCGCTCGGAGCCACTATATAAAGCTCCAGGCCCCCACATCCCACCGTCAAGGAGCGGCCTCCCAGGCGCGGCTCCAGCTTCTCTCTCGGCCCGGGAGTCATGGGCGAGGTCACCTTCTTCAGCGCACAGAGGACCTCGCACCCGGACCGCCTGTGGATCTGGGAAAAGGGCGTGTATACCGACGAGAATCGGCGCACTTGGCTGCCCATAGTCATCAAGGTACAGTCCGCCTCGGGCCAGCGGGCGGGCAGCAGGTTGTCCCCCTGCCTGGCCCGGTGCAGGGAGCCAGGGACCAGGTGGGACGAGGCCCTGAGGGGGACAGAGGAACCCCACCATGGCCAGCTGGGGGAGGCTCGGGAATCCTGGTTGGCCCAGCGCCGTCCCAGATGAAACCACTTTGAGCTGGGCTTTGCAGGGTGAATAGCTGCTCTCCAGGCCAGGAGGGAGGGTGGGAAAGCCCAAGGTCATGGTTGGACACAAACAGGACTGGAATGTGTGACTGGTTTTTAGGTAAAACAGGACTTTTCTGGGCTTTAGCTTTTTAATCCGTAAAATGGGAATATCTTTAAAGTAAGTGATTCATTCGTACATGAATCACTCGCGTGTCCCTGAAATCTGTATTTTAAAAAAGCACCTTAAGCAGACTATGACCAAGCAAACGGGAGAAGCACCGCCCTAGAGGGTGGGGTGTTTCACACTTCGCATGTGCTTTGCAACAATAACTTAAACAAGTAATACAGTAGTATCAAAGTTTGTATTGAATAAACTTTGTTTAGTTAGTGTTAACTTTTTTAAAAAGAAAGAAATATAACTCCTGTGTAGAGTGCCTGCCTAGCACACAGGAGGCCAGATTCAAATCCCGGTACCATCAAATAAGTAAGTAGATAAATAACACTCTTTTACAACTACTTCCCATCAGAGCTTCAGTTTACTCCAAAAAAACTGAAACAAAAATTGTTAATTCTTTCCATACGTAAACTGAAGAAAGCTATAAAAGCAAAGTTGAAATATATACTGTTAGAATACTGTGTGAAGTAATAGCAAACGGCAAAAAGTTTCTGAGTAACTTCAGCTCCACTTTGCAGAGGAGGAAAACGAGGCTTTAATGTAAACCTGTCCAAGAGAGGGCTGCTAAGCAGGTGGGGTTGCAATTCCAGGTTCTCAACTACCATCTAAATTTGCATTCTTATTGCTATTTAAATGTTTAAATTTACATATATACTTTTTAAAAAACAAGTCAAATTAAAGGCTTACTTTTTTTAAAGTCAGATATTGGAAGAAAATTTAGGGAAGTGTGTCTTCTCACCCAAACTGCAAAACCAAATAGTTTTTCACATAGGCATGATAAATGCTTCCTGAAAAAAACCGCTCATTAGCAAACTTAGGGCAGAATTTGCTTCCCAGTATTCTTAATATGTAAAGACTTATTTAAATTAACAAAAATTATGAATAATGCAAGATAAAAATTGTTAAAGAATATAGGAAACTATATACTAACATGAATGATGATTTCCACAGTGCCTTACACCTTTGAATTCTTTCTTCAAATATTTCATTGGTGAAAATTTTACAAAACCATTTTCACTTTGGAAAAAATAGTTGTTGGACAAATGCAAGTGCTTAGTTTTAATGCCAGGCATGGTTCTAGGCTGTGAAGTTTTGCAGTAAATGTGCTTAGAAGGCTGACTCACTGCTGGGAGAGACAGGTGACAAAAGAATGAAGCTGGTGGAGAGTTGACAAAGAAGCTGGGATGAGCAGTAAGAGTGAGTGGCCAGAGGCCATCAGGCAAGACCCCTCAGGGTCTTAATTTGCATTTGCCTGCCATATTTTTGCCCTTCATTTTATTTGCAAACTTTTTGAGTCTTTTTTTTTTTTTTGGTCGGGGAGGGGAGGCTTGCTTATGTACATCATAAAGTTGGATTTTGCTGATTTTTTTCCCCCCTTTAGTGAGTGAAATTCATCTTCAGTTATTGACAAAATTTATATGTTTGGTCTCCATTCTGTCATATTGCTTAATGTTTTGTCTTTAATAGATACATATTTGAGCAGAGACCTATCCAAAAAGAAGTGGGTGGGAACTGGAACTCTATGTAGATGTGGGTGGATGTTCCAGACAGGAAGGACAGAAGACACAAGGGATGACTGGAAGCAGGAATGAATGTGGCAGGTCTCAGAAATAGTGAGAAGACTGAAAGAAGGTGGAGTGTTGTGAACAGAACAGTGGGACCTCCCACTGTGTGGGAGGCAGGGGCCTGTGTGGACTTTGGTGGGCCATTCTGCTCATGATGGGAAGTCATCTCAGGGAGGGTAGGACTGTGGTTACTGTGCAAAGCTGGCTGTGAATGCAGCCCAACAAGGTGGCAAGTCAGGAGGGTGTTGCCACAGAGAAGATGGTGACAGGGATAGTGAAAGGCAGCCTGTCACTGACTCAGAGGACAAAGGATATCTTTTTTATAAGAGAGGAAATAGAACAAAATAAAAAATCAAAGTCCCATAGCAACTTACCAGCCACCAAGCTAAAAGACCCCATGGACTACCCTAGCAACTAGTAGCTTGGCAGGAAAGAGTGGACCTTTCTGGGTGGTTGGACTCCTGCTGGCCCAGCCAGACTCCATGAAATGAGTGCAAGTGGTTCGTGGACCTGATACCACAGATGGTGATAGCCAGTGTCTCATGATGGATCAGCATCTGTCAGGCCAGGCTGGGGCTGCTCCTGCTTGGGTGGCAGGACAGACTCTGGCCATTGGTCTTGAAGAACCTGAGGGTGTGCCCTGCTCTTTCCTCTGCAGACAGACACTAGCTTCCAGGTGCTCATGCGCCAGGAAAATGTCCCCTTGGGGGATCCTCTGAGCCCCACGCAGCTGACCTCATACCAGCTACCTTTGATGTGGCAGCTGTACCCTGGAGAAAGATACCGAGGCACAGACTCCAGGCTCTGGCGCATAGTGTACCACATTGAGGCAAGCATGGGTTTCCCCAGGGATTAGCAGGTGATCTGGTGTCCCCCCACCCCAACACTCCCATGTCTGGCCTCTATGCCAGATTTGTTCCCTCCATCCCAGCACCACAAGCTAAGTTAATGGAGGTGATTGACAGTTGCAGACTTGTAAAGAGCTGGATTGGAGAGGATGTAGAACCGAGGACTAGCATCCTCAGAGACCTCCAACAAGCCTTGGTGCAGGAAGCCCTCTCTGGTGGCACTGACAGCTTGAGGCTAGTAGGGAGGGCCATGACTCACCCAGGTGCCCCCTGCTACTCCAGGCCAGTGAAGGCAGAGCCAGGATGGAGAGGTGGTCCTCAGGGCCATGGTCTGATCTCCTCTTTCTCTCTCCTTTTCCACCCTCAGTTCAGAGGCACAGAGGACATGCTCCTTGAGCAGCTGCCAGAGGAGCAGTGACATGGTGAGCACCTGGGCCCCATGAAGGTCATGCCAGTCCCTCTCAACTGCTGCCCTCACCAGGTCCCTGGGGTGGGATTTCCTGGAGGCACCCTGTCTCTCCTTTACCATGTCAGGAGCCACAGCTTTCTGGGAAGCCCCTGGCTGCAACTGCACACATCTGTACAGGGCCATATGGGTCACAGTTGGAACTTTTATGTATAGTTCTACATTAAACAAGTGTCATTGCTTCATCACCACATCAGCTGAGCTAAGAATCTTTAGATATTGCAGGGTACAAAACCAAGTTTTGAGGAATTGAAGTGACTTGTTCAAATTACAGTCAGGTTTCAAATCATGGTCTTCTGACCCAACCACCTTGCCATGGGCAAGGCAAAGACACAGGGTTCAGCCTTGGGGTGGGGATGGGACAGCAGCATTGACCTCCTGGCTCCCTGGCCTTGACTTGCCCTAACAGCCCTGTTCCCACTCGCTCTCCACTCCCACCTCCAGTCTTGCCTTTGCCTCTGACCCTGTCTTCTCCATTCCCAGGTCTTGGAGTTCCTGCCTTCGTTGGCCCCCTGGGCACACAGTGGGGCTGTTTGTGCTCATGTTCACTTTGTTTGATAGTCCTGTGTATTCTCCACCATGCTGGGCTCTGGGAGGAAATGAATGACCAGAGGATGAAACCCACCCAGGCTGTAGGACCTGTCTGCTGCTGCTTGGCTCCCTCGGTCCTCAGCAATGCTTCCCTGGCAGGTGGCACCAGGGGTTGGTATCACTTCTTCCAGGTGTCCAATGGTACCTGTGCCTCTGTTGTTCTTAGCTGGCTGATGACTTTTCACCTCTTTCTCCCTTCTGTCCCTCAGGGCAACTAGTATTACACTCCTTCCTGGGACTGTTCCCAGTCTGTTCCCTCAGCTCCTTGCATCTTTGGGAACAAGGCCTATTTGCCAGGCCTCAGAGCCTAGAGCAGACATTTCCCATTATGCTATGCCTGAGCCATAGGGTGCAAACCCCCACCTGCCTAGCAGGCTTGGGTGCCTGAGAGGAGTCACTCCCTGCTCAGGACTCAGAAGTCTGCTGGTGAGGGACCTACAGCCCATGACGTAGCAGGAAGTCAGGCAAGTGAGCACTGTGGGTGAGCCTTTAAGTTGCCCACCTGTAGAAGAGAGAGAGGTTGGGTTTCCCCCTTCACAGGTGCCCACATACCTGGGTGTTGGAAGGTTGTATGTGACGTGAACACGTGCAATGTTGGCTGATTAAATATAAGACAGTTCATCTAACTTGTGCCGACTCAGCTTCCATCCTTGAACTAGATGCTAGTGGAGAGAAGGGAGGACAGGGATCACCTGGTAAAAACGTTGAAAGGGAGAAAGTACCAGGAGTTTCCTGCATTTGTTCCACTTTGGAGATAAGAATGCAGTTGTTTTGATCATATAATCCAACAATCAAAACCCCAGTGTTCTTGGAAGCATGGTTTGAAAATCATTAGAGTATGTCTCTGTCAGCAGCTCCTAGAATTCATGGACCACTCTTTCTGGTCCTGGCCTCTCTCCAGTGTCCATGTGCCCTGAGTGCTAGTGGCCTCAGCCAACTTTGCCTCCTTCTGCCAAGACACCAGGTCTGTCCTTACACAGGTAGCTCCTGCTCTCAATGGTAGCAGGAGTACCTCCCACCTGAAACTGTCCCCCACCACTCAAGCTCCAGCCAGACTCTTCCCCACCTCTGCCACCTGCAGTCACAGCCTAGCCAGCCCTGTGCCCTGTCCCCTTGCTTCCCGCTGCCCCCTGCTCCTTCTGAGCAGGACTTCAGAGGTTCCTAGTGGACACCTTCCAGAGGAACAGATCCAGAAAGGGACCAATGGAATCCTGCATCCCACTTTTGTGTGACTGTGATCCACAGCATTCTCTTCACCTGGAGACAAGGGGTGTGACACCCAGGGTGGGTTCTGAAGAAGTGGTGGGGTAATATAAGGCCTCTAAGCATTTAGCAATTGGGTAAGAAAAACACACCCCCTATTTTATAGTCTCTGATCCTAGGCTTCTCACCTGGCGTTAGGCAGATAAGAAGCATGGCTTCCACATATGACGGGGCTAATGTTGTCATCTGACCCCATTGACTGGCCCAGTACTTGGCAGCAGCATAAGAGTTTGGCTGTGGGAGGGATGAAACCTCTCAGTGGGAACAGAGCACAAGAGCAAGCAGGAAGATGTAAGAGCAGAAAGAACAAAGAATGACAGCTACCTTCCCCCCCACCCCAGCCGCCAAGTTGGTTAGTTATAACAACACTGAGGCCCAGGAAGGGGAACCATCTTTTGCAAGACTTCTTGTTTTCCAAATATTTGGACACCACCATGAAATATGCTGGGAGCTTTGACTACAGCAGCAGGGCACCAAACACAACAAGGGCCTGGTTAACACGCAGATTTTGATCTGAAAGAAGACAAGCTTAGAAATGCAAAATCCCAGAAGAAAATAAAACAGAGTCAAGTGATTAGGTCAACTGACAACTCTTATTTGGAGGTGGCTTTTGAGATGGGACCTTGAAAACAGGGGAGAGCCAGAGACTTGACTCCAAAAGAGGGAGGGCATATCTGGTACAGATTTAATTTAATTTGTAAATGAAACTCAGAAGGATTTCTTCTAACTCTGCGAAATGCTATTTTGCAAGAATAAGAGGTCCTAATAAGTGAGCCATAAATGCAATGCAGAATCTCTTCTCCATAGCAAAAGTGACACTAGAGTTTGGGCTAGAACCACCAGGTGGACAGTGGCATTATTTATTCAGATTTGGAGCTGTGAGTTTGGCAAGGGGGATCATGAATTCTGTTTTTGCTATGTTGTATTTGGAATTCCTGTGATACCTCCAGTTGGAAGTGTCGATAGGCTGCTGATTGAATATGGGTCTACAACTCAGATCAGGACCAAAAGAATAAATTTAGGAGTCATTAAAATATAAATGTGAAATCCAGGTATCTGACTGAGGTCACTTATGGAGAGATGTAGTGACAAAACGAGAAAAAAAGTGGTTTGGGAGGTGTCAGTGCTGTGACTGGGTGGCATCCTCTTGTAAGGGCCTGCAAGTTCTGTTGTAACTAGGCTGGAGAAGACAGGTGTCGAAGGGATGTCACAGGGAGATGAGGAGCCTGTGTGTGCATGTGAAAAAGAGAGCTATAGAAAGGGACCAACTGATGAGTGAAATGGATTTCATTCCAAGAAGAGCATCCTGGAGGAAGAAACTAATGGAGGCACAACGTATATGTTGGCATCTGACCCAGCAACTTTGGCAATTGCCTATTTTATGCCAACTTCTTTTGTCCCACCCCCTCCCCCCCACACACACAAAGTTGGGGTTTGTTATTTTGTTGAGGTATTTTAAGCACTTCATAATTTCATAACTGTGATATATTTACTTTTTATCTTATTTTTATTTGTATTTTACATCTAATTACAATTTAATTTCTTTCAATAATGTGTGGTGATTTGTGGGGGCAGGAGGCATAGATTTTTTGCCTTTCTTTCTTGTTTTTATTCATTTTGGTGTTGAAGATTGAACCTAAGGATTTGCACATGCTAGGCAAGTGCTCTACAACTAAGCTCCATCCCCAACCCTGCATTTCTTTTATTAAATTGATTGCTAAGTGTTTTGTTCTTTAGATTATTGTGATAAGACACTTAATATGTCTGGGTGCCAGTGGCTCATGCCTGTAATCCTAGCTATAAAGGAGGCTGAGATCAGGAGGATTTCCATTCGAGGCCAGCTGGCCAACGGCTTTGTCATAAATGTCCTTTATCAGGGTGAGGGAGTCCTCTTCTAGTTCCAGTTAGCTTCATGTTTTCACCATGAAAGGATGTTGGATTTGCAACTGATTTTCTGTCCTTTGATGTATTGATATGATGTACAAATTGGTTTTGTATATTGAACCACCTGGCATCCCTGAGATAAACCCTACTTGGTTATAGTGTGGAAGTTATTTTGTACATTGCAGGGCTTTTTTATCAGCGTTTTGTGAAGGGTTATTACATCTATATTCCTAAGAGATACTGGTGTGTAGTGTTTTCTTCTTGTGATTCTTTGACTTGGGATCATAAATTTTTAAGACTACAAATTTTCTTATATTTGCTGCATTCATTATAGGCCATAGATTCCAACATGTCATTGTTCGTTATCATTATTTCCAAGAAAATCTACACTTTCTTGCCCCACCCAGATCAATGAGGTGTTTAAGAGGGTATTTTAAAATTTCCCAGTGGTAGAGTATGTACTTAGCATATACAAGACCTCGGGCTTAATTCCAGTACTACTCCCCCAAAAATATTTCAGGTAGGAGACCCTTTTTGTTTGTGATTCTTGTTATTGGTTTATAGTTTTATTATATAGAAGTCAGAAAGCTATATTTATTACTTAGAAAAGCTTTTTTGCATTTCTTTTGTGGTTCAAATGCTCAATTGTGAAGAATTTTGGACATCTGAAAAGAAGGCATTTTCCCAAATGAGGTGCAGAAGCATGAATCCTGCTGTACTGTTACTACCAAGCTCTGCTTTGCTGTTAATACTGCTTAGGCTTTCTATATTTTCAATTGTTATTTTAGTCCATTTGGTCTAGAAAAGTCTGGAAAAAAACACTAACAGTTCCTATTAGTATTATTTCTGTCTTCTCCTTTAATCTCTGGTAATTTATACTTCATAAAGTTGTGTTGTTGGCTACATAAATATTGATTGATATATCTTATGGACTGTAGCCTTTAGCAGTGTCTTTGTCTTCCAGTGTTCTCTGACTAGATTTCTGCTACTCATATATAAAAGTCATGAGCTGTGTGTTTGTTTTACTGATTTGCATTTGGCCTCACATATTTTTGCCTATCATTTTTTTTTTTGGTTTTAGGTATGTTTCATACACACACATACACAGAGAGAGAGGGAGAAAGTATGTGTGTGTGTGTGTGCGTGTGTGTGTTGATTTTTTTTTTTGAATTGGTAAATTAAACCCATTTTCAAAAACTGTTATATCTGATATATTTGGTATCAATATTGTTTTGCATTTGTCTTTATGTACCTATAAAAATTCCTTCCATGGGATCTGTTTAAATAGTATTTCTCCTGGCATTGGATTTCTTTATGCTAATATCTTAGGATAGATGATGGTTCATCTTGATTGTCAACATGACTGGATTGAGAGACACCTAGGAGATTAGTAAAGCATGTTTCTGGGCATGTCTGTGAGGTTGTTTCCAGACATGATTGACATGTGGCACAGCAACTGAGGGGGAAACACTTTCCCTGAGTGTGGGCAGCACATTTATAGACTGGGAGCTGGGATGGAAAGTGGAAAATGAAGCAGCCAGCCAGTGCATGCCGAGTGAGTGCATCTGTTGTGGCTCCCATTACCAGTGGACATCAGACTTCCAGGTTCTTCAGCCTTTCAACAGGGACTCTCACCAGCAACCCTCAGGGAGTTCCCAGGCCTTTGGCCTCAGTCTGAGACTACATTATTGGTCCTCCTTGGACTGAGCCTCTACTGGGTTCTCTGACTCATAAGCCTACAGATGGCCATTGTTGGACCACTCAGCCTCCAATCACATAAGTCAAGCCAGTAAATCCCCTTTTATAATTATATGTCTGAATATCTATTGGCTCTGTTTCTCTAGGGAACCCTGATTAATACAGGGAGAT